ATTGATATCTCGCATATTATCTGTTCCACTCAATGATAACGACCTAATCGCAGCTGTCAGCAGATCTTGAGTGCCACGTTAGTGTACCACATTGCACATTGCAGCACTTCACGTCCCTTCAAGTTTTGATGACTTCTGCATTAATCCAGTTCCACTCTGGTTCTGTTTTGTTCTATCAGTTGAACTTTGGCAGTTGGAACGTAGCAAAACATTTGTCTCCAATTCTGAACTGTGCTATGCCATAACACACTCTTGTTTTCAAAAACTGAAGGTAAATCCGTTTTGATACCTGCTAGGATTAGCTGGCAAGCTCGTGGAAACACTTTTTGTATATTACAAACTATATCGTTAACATGAAGTAAACTACTGAACATCCCGTATAGTGAGTTAGTAAGATTTATTTGGAGTCTCAAAACTCTGAAGAAATTTTAATACGATGGAGTGAAATGCATGTTAGTGACAATGGCCGACACACACTACCCGTGAAAGGGTTGTCACTCCCTGCCACAAAATTCATTGCAGTCTAGTGTTTTTCATCCAGTGAAACTTCGACAGGAACCATCAAAACTGACCAAATTCCACAACGATGTGTTGTTGCACAAATTCAAAAATAATGTTACTTGTTAGAAACTTGATAAATGCCGAATTATCGTGCTTATCACCTTCGATCAGTATCGTAACTGGGAGTGTTTTACCAATCGGTGCTATGTCCGCATTCAAAGTTGCATAATCAGCCAAGTCAAATAAAATCCAACAATGGAAACGTACTAATATGGCAAATAGGTCCACTGGTCAATCTTACAAAGACAATTTTTAAAGTAACGATTTACTAACTATTCTTGGTCGCTGGCAAAGTGAGTTGCTTCTGAAGAGAAGATAAAAAAGGCTACGTCCTTAAAATTGCCTTATTGACAGAGGTATTTATTCCCGGAAAGCTTCCACCCTCCAAAGTACGGACACTATTTGAGGCAATCAATGTGTGATTTACACTACGTGATTGGATATGACCAGACGTATTGCTAAGATCTCTTGGCAGTGATTGTGCAATTCATCTCAGGATCAAACTATTTACCAGGAACAGATATCCAACAGAAGATTCTTAGCTTGAGCTAATACTGAAAAAAATTTTAGGCTTAAAATATTAACAAAGCCCTGAATATTGTGTGGTTTATAAAACATTGTGTAAGTTCAATGTGTATGGCACTCGAATTCAGCCACGTATATCAAGATAAACTGGACGAACGAAAGATGCTATTTGACATTTACACCCATTCGCAACCAAATTTGGTTTTTACGGGAGGCTCAAGTTAATCTCTCGTTTATGATGTTCTTCAATTGAATGTGCTGTACAATGGCTGATTCAGTCGGTGCGATCTTCGAAATATCGCAGTACATTTTCACAATGGAAAATGCGCACAAATTTGCTTAAATTTCATCAACACAGCCCACGACTCGGGGACTGCGCCTATTTGATGAGCCCCAAGAAGAGCAAAACCGGTCGTGGGCTGTCGAAGAATTTTCAGCAACCTTGTGAGTAGACAGCTGCTTTTATGTGTGGGTCACAGAGATAGCTCTAATCTACATTCTCAAATTAGGTTCACAGTACCATTTGAGCAAAACTCATCCCATCCAATGGGATAATTGCACAAAATGCATCGGATGTGTGCTTGCATTTTTGATACTTCCGTCCGGTGCACTGGGCTGATGTTGGTTGGCGTCACAGAACTTGTCTTGTTTAAGAGGGTACAACAGTTTGCCTACGGGTGAAAGGAAGAAGGCCTTCGATGAGTTGTCCATTAGGGAAACACCAACAGAACAGCTACAGACTATAGGACAGGGGAACAAAACACTCACATGCATCTTGTTTACAAAACTGAATATCCTTGAGTCTCCTTAAACGCGTCTTCCTGAACTTTCCTGGACATTCATTGACTGCTACTCAACTGCAGGCCAATGCTACAAACCAGCTCCACAAATTCCGTAATAGATCTCACTTTTCAAGAGAAGCAAGGCGGATTTACGAGAAAACACACTACTCGCATACTTCATCAATAGTATCCATCGTTACACGAGCACATTTAGCTTAGTATTTAGGGGGACGGAAGAAACAAAAAACTTTTTGAAGAGCCACGCATGGTTCCTCAACCTGGAGGCATTTAGACCATTCCTGATGACCGAAGGTTAGGTAGTGAACAATACATTTGGAAAACAGTGTCAGGTCAGCTGTACTATGCATCAGGTATACCGAATCGCTCCACCGCTAGGCCAAAATAGTAGCGCTAAGACGGCTCGGCGACGAACACACATCTCACCATCCATCAGTCTCAGACATAAAGCACGCATCATGCTTCAACTGAAGAATCTATTGAACTGGGTGGACCGACGTCTTTTTAAGTACTGTAGGTCCTAAAGACATGAATATGTTGTTGAAACGAACTGTGAAGCCGCTGCTGACTGATATAAGACTGCTGTTGGGCCCTCCAGCGAGCCGCTTTCGTAGGTGGAAAACAGTGTGCTAAAGTCCCCGTGATTCACATCGACAATTTTTTCTCATCATTAGGCATTTTTAAAAACGATTTATATGTATATAAGATTTCAAAACATTCATTGGCAGAAATATACATCTCCCCCAACGATAAGAATATTTGTGACCCTGAATAACACCATCTGAAGAGATGAATACCACCATGTTGCATAATCATCAAAATTCTGAGGTAGATTTTATCGTTTATTTGATCAAAATAACACCTCGATGTTTGTGATTTGGTAGTAGATATGGCCACATTTTTATCAATCCACGGTATCTGCTACGGATGAGCCCCGCGACACCGCACCCATTTCAGGTTAACTGTACACTAATAAAAGAATTTGCGCTCGTTGCTTAGACTCCTGTCTTCACTAATCGTGCTAACCCGCATTTTCGCTTTTATACTGTGTTTTATTTGTAAGTGAAGTAAAGAACATACAAGCAGCATTCAAGAAGAACCGGGTGCACGGGGGAAGTTTGAACTCAAAACATAATGTCGTGGAATAAGATGTTACAGTCTGATGTTCCGGTTGCCGTAGGCAACCTTTTTCATGGACTATAGAAATCCTTCAGAAAGGTTTCCACGGTAACCAAAACGACTCACTATAACCTTTCATTCCACCACACTGTCCTTTGACATTAAACTTTCCGTGTCATGCAACACACGGTGTTCATTGTGTTTAACACGGTCCGAGCCTATTTTAGCCCGGAATTTCTAAGAACGAGTTCCTTTTACAAGACTTTCTCATCCGATAAACTTACTTGAGTGTATAACTTAGCCATCAAAGCTGATATGTATATCAATCTCATCCGTTCAGTCTTGAAATAAAAATCTAGGATTCTCATAGTGTGAGACGGTCATAAATTTACCATTCAAGTGAAAAATGGAGTCAAACGAAGGCTGATAAAATCGCATGCTCATAGGTGGTCAGAGTGGTGTGTTATTGACACGCGCATCAACATCGCGAAAACAAAAAGTTCATGGTCTTGATCATTCTCAAAATCTCAGAGTTTCTAAAGGATAAATGAAAGTGTCACCGGTCACTGTTGTAGGATCGACCTTAATTGTTGTGGACGTCTTGTGCAGATGGTTCTAGTGAAATCTTGAAAATTTAATTTAATGCATTAACCTGGCGCATGGGTTTATATTGATTCGGCTTTGCCGAGGTCAACTAAACTAATACCCAAAATCATCAAATGAGAACGATAACATCTTGTGTTTTCTGGCACGGCAGAAATCTAAGGAAACACTTGGGTGTTCCATTTTTAAATTGGATTTAGAACAATATTCATAAAGCTGAGATGTCACAGCCCTTTCAAGCAGGCGCAATATTCCAAAATTTGTCAAACATTTTCACTCGTGTTGCTCATTAACTGGTGCGCACAGAGATCCTACAAGGAAACCAATTTAGGCTACTGAATCGCGGTTAAGATACGGAACACTTGTACAATTTTGCTGCGTAACTGAATCACTTAGCTGGCATTATTCGACTTACATTCAGTTGGTCTCACCTCATCGCAGACAAGTGGCAGCAATATGAACTTAACTGCTAGTGTTCATAAAACAGGTGAGGTAACTCTTCCCCTCGAGCTTAGTTTTAGTCCATTCTTGCTGAGCACAGATGCAATGATTCAAGCAGTTTAAGTCTTCTACACATAGCACCCAAATATGTTACGTCAACCTTCATCAAAAATCTGCACACAAACCCGAATTAACGTCAAATTTAAAGCGAGGTTTTCAAAGTGGAGCACAAGATGGTGAGGAGGGAATCTCGACTCTAATCAGGGACTTTGAATACCATCAAGAATAAAACATCTTGATGATGTAATACCAACAGAGTATCGTGTCGAGAGTATCCGAAAATATCCTGAAATGCACATGTTGATGACAGAATCTTGAAACACTGGTGAGGCTATCGGGTTCGTCACTTTTGCAAGTAGAGAGATGGAGATATGGCGAACAAATGTCGTTCTACTCAAAGCGGAAAGCGGGAAAAGCGCATCAATATTTCTACAGCATATTTTATGCAAATATATGCTTATACATTCTTAGGAGTTCCGGGCCGACTTTGGCTCGGATAGTGTTTAAAATATTGAGCAGATGAGGTACACAATATACGGATTTTTAAGGTCAAAATACTGTGTAGTGGACTGAGGTGCTATAGTTCGACTTTTCCATGGTCATACTTTTTCTACTACGCTGTTTTGTGACTTCAACTGACTGCCTCTATGCTCACCCTCTTGGGCAATTATTTTGTAATATCGCACCATTTTTTTCTGAATGGGAGGTTTTATATTTTGTAACTAAAAATACAAAAGGTATATTCTTCGTGGACTCATGTACCACAAGGCCTTTTCATTAATTTGACCGTTTATATCCACGTGGTGATAAATTTCAATCAATACATTCTGTTGAACACTTTTACCATAACTACCGACATTATTTCTGCTTCACCGAATTTTTTTGTTGCAGAAAGAAACTAAAAGTGACGTCGAGGTAGGACGGACATTTGCCACAATTCTATCTGATCCGGAGTTTCGTTCCTCCTTGATGTACGCAGCTGGCGTGGAAGAAGTGAAGGCGTTACTTTTGGCTCGCGCAAACGAATTGGCTAATAGACGCCCAGAGGATCGGCGGAGATCATCCGTTTTTGAACGCTCTCATAAAATTGCCTCAGACCTGGTAAGTCGTGATGACGCTTCGAAGATCGACCGATTTTACATTCCCATTTGAACAAACACGCCTCCAGTTACAAGCTGATAAAGTTACTCAATTGTCACAGTTTTTAACAAAATATGTGATACGAAATGAATCAACACTGCACTTAGTGACTTCTCACGCTGGCTGAAAGTGAATATGTTAGATTGGTGAGTATTTCAGCTGGGAGGTAAATTATATGAAGTCGAGTAGAAAGTTGCGAAAAAAATTGCGAATGATGAGTATCGGCTGAAACCCAAGAATGCATGATTTTTCGGGTTTAAACACTAAGATGGCCGATTTATTTGTAGTCCTGTCTGCAAAAGGTTAGTTGGAAATTTTCCGATTGCTTTGAGTTGCTCACCAACTTCCAGTTTTCTACCCAAACCTTGCCAGTTCTTTCGACTTGGAACGTGCCTAATTATCTAACCCTCAGTCTCGCACTTTGATTCGCCTTAATAGTAAAACAACCACGATGCAAAGTTACTCATTTTGTCCAGCCGACTGAAATTTACGTAACTAACGCTCCAGTTCATTCGAATCAGCTGCACCAATCAGCATCTCAGTCTTGGGACCCCATTCTTGTAGTCACTGTTTCAAGTGATGTCCTGTGCCCCACATACAACTCCGAAAGGTTACGGGCCCTGTAGTTTACGTCCATTAAGAACTCCAAAAGTGTCCTTAAAAAATTTATAGTCCCACCGAGATAATGTCTCACATTGAATCACTTCACTTAAAGCGCACAGTTCGCCAAAAAAAATTCCAGACTGCTTTCGCTTCTTTTGCGTAAGAAGCGTGATTTCATATTCTTCAACATTTTGTAATTTCCAACGGAATCTAAAATAGGTACATGTGAAAAACCTCGCTATCAAAATATCAGTCTACTTGGCGCTGTTTTGGGACAAATTGTCCCACTGCACAATTGCACCACAGTTGAGTCAGAACGTCGGAGGACAGCGCTGTGAATGCTGCAGCCGTAATTTCCAAAACAAATAATGTATCGTGATGAATTTAACAAACTACCAACTGTGAGGAAAGCATTTTATAAGAGTTTTTATGGTATTCCGGGCATCAAGTATTAGTGTCCTTAACGTATCCTCAAATTAAGCCAACTTTCTCACAGATTTCACGGTCATCTGCGTCGCGTCGTGCCACTCTCGCGGGTGATAGTCTAAGGAGATCACATGACCAGTTTTACGGTTACCTTTTTTGGAATACTTGTGAAGAACATGTTTTCTCATGTTTTGAAAATCAAATTAGTTCGGGCTTCGGCCTTCAAGACAAAACTACTATCTTGAATCACAAATGAAGTCTAAACTTGTGAAGCACAGGCGGCAAGCGATTTCTTTGATAACGGATAAGACGTGAAATGTTGTTTCCACTATCAGAATAGGGCGCGACTGTAACGCCAAATGCTTCGTCTTGAAACAAAATGGTTAAAAATGGCCTACAGTGAATATTGTAAACCTTTTGTTTCGGACTTTTTGGCTAATTTGGTAGAAAGATGAAAGGACTAAATGAGTGTGTGCCGAAGCAACTAAACATGCTTGGGAAAAAGAGCCATCTGCGACTAAAAAGACGTGAATTAGAACAAGTGTTACTGAATTTCATTTCGCTGGGGTCAAAATGTCGTCTACCTTACTACCTGAAGCATCAAGTGAGTTTTGTTGACCTTTGGATCCTGATAATGCTTGCAGAGATCAGGGGAACAGAAAAAGTTGCACTGCTATCTGAACCTTCTTGCCCTTCTTGGAGCTGATTAGGTAGGTGAAATCTTTAAGTCGTTAACTTATTAGTGCACAGGTAGTGGTAACCATAATACAAATCAGAAGGTGAATGTGCACTAATAAAAGCTTTTAGTATTTCTGCTATCATCGACAACATAGCATCAACGTTTAACACTGATGCCGTACAGTCATAATTTGGTTGAAGGGCTGATGAAAAGAATAAGGCTGGATGGAGAAGGGATTAAGTGTTAGCCTACCAAGGTTAATCCGATGTCTCCGGGCATTTATTAAGGTAATCCGGATAGGAAATGATAGAAGGAACGCCACTAAAATCAACCAACAGTCATATCGTGCAGTGTCTACAACCCTACAACCCCGCGCCCACAGCACCCAGACTTTCCGTAATACCTTTCACGCCCATCTGCCAAGTTAAAGGTTGACCAACTCTCTGCTTGCACCACTCCGAGCTGGACATAGGTAGAAAAATAAAGGTAATCGTTCAGCTGTAGCACCCTTCCGGTGCCTAGCTGCCATGCCACCCGAAGGGAGCACGAGGGCTGGGATACTGCCAGGTTGCCCAAGCCTAGACAGGGGAAGTCGAGTGGCGGAGGTCGGATCCGAACCGCGGACCTTCAGGTTAGTAAATCCGCGCTCTAACCACTTCGGCCATCTCGCCCCTCGGCCATCTCGCCCCTTGTACGCTGTAGTCACCTTCCAACTACTTTGGTGCTGACAGGTGACTCAGTCGAATCTCACCTGAATCCCTCGTTTATTATACTCCGTAACTAAAAGTGCTACAAAATATTGCTAGATCTGGAGTATGGGGCGACCTGTGCGCAGAACATTTAGTTGAATACTGACGAAAAAAAACAGAGATTCATATGAGATTCAACCAAATTTATCGTCAAAGCCAAGTTAGTTTGCGACTGACTGCATCAAGTTAACCATCTTATTACGTTCATTTTCATTCTCTTAGTTCATGAAAACTGCCTGTACATTTATATCAGTTGAACACGTTTCATTCCTTTTTCCCCCAGAAAAACGATGTGTGTTTTGGAAAGGGGCTGTATCAGGACCTACGGAATCGACTGCCTCACTACTGGTCAGATTACTCCGAGGGTAAGCTAAACCGACTGCATATCACCTAGCGTAAAAAAATCTTTTCTCAACCGCGTTTATTGGGTCGGAGCGTGTTATTCATTAAACCTATTTAAGTGGCACCTACCGGGCAAAAACCACACGCGTTTTCTCTTCTTTTTTTGTCCGTAGGGTTGAAAATTGATCGTGTGGGTGGTCCGTTCGGACGCGTTCAGGCTACCACTGGTAATGAGCTAATAGGACTTGATGACTTGCATAAGTTAGACACAGAACTCTGAAAAGTAATCAAGGAAAGGCGCTAGTTAATCGCACAGTGTCATTCATAAGTAACAGACTGTCGTATTGATCGCAGTGAAAATAATCGATCCATACTGGGGATTCTCACTGATGCATCCGCGCCCAACATAACGTCTAGTCGGAAGATGAAAACTTCCATGGTCGCTAATTTTGACAAATAGATAATTACCATACAGCGAATGTATTAAAACATCACCGAAGTGTAGGAATATGTAAGTACAGTGAATAAACAAAAATATATATAATATGTTTGATGTCTACTTACGTGACGCGCATGCGTATCCAGAACAGTCTCGTGATTCACCATGATGGTGAATTAATCCTACTGCAAACCGCTTGCTCATGAGATGTCTTGAAACTTCGTCCGAAACACTTGCCAGCTGCAGTTGGCACCCAAGTTCCGCAATCGTCGTTTTGCAATCGTCCACATTCACATCACGTCCGTTAAAACATTCGTCCTCATGCCCTGGAGTGATTTTTCTCGTGAGTCCACATTAAATCGGGAAGACATTGAACAATACAAGTTCCACAAACCCCACAACAGATATCAAAAAAGTTGTCCAGCGGTTTTCAAACGTCTGTGGCGCCGCCTGACTGGGAAGTCCTAACAGGGGAGGCAATCGGTCGTCACAACCAGGACAGCCACTAGGTCGTCGTTTTGATTGTGTCGGGCGCACTAATCACATCGCTCAAGCGTGAACACTTTCGCCCGTTCAGACGTGAACATTCGGATTCGTCCACCTTGCGCTGGTGGAATGGTAACACGCTCGCTTTGTATGTGAGATGTCCGGAGTTCAAACCCCAACACGGCCATTGGATATGCACTGCTGATGAGCTCTAATAAGAGCGAAACTCGAGTCCAGTGCTTCCCCCACTCTTTGGTGTGGATTCACCAGAACAATTGAGCCAGGACAGGAGGATGACTGTTCAGATGAGAGTGATGTAAATATGAACAATACATATCACCTAAATCCCACGACAGAGATTTGGAATGCTCTGACGATAACGATATCTTTGCAGACAAAATATTTTTAGCAAATATTGATGTCAAAGTACAAAAATTCCGCGGAAGAGTTCAGAGGAAACAGAACTACTGCAATAGTCTTCATAACTAAGAAAAATCATATCATACGAGGGTCGGTGATACCTCTGTTTTGCAGTACGATGTTCCCAGATGGAGTAAAGTACGATCGTTAAAAACCTAGCCAAAAAATCCCGTTGCAAACTGAAGGTCGGAATTAACCAACATAACTGACTTTATAAGACACCTTAAATATTGCTTTCTTGTCGCATCCTATGGTAAACGCAGGGACGTGGACCAAAGCGAGAAAGACGTAGAGGTCCGAAATTGCTCCACTGGACAGCAACCACTTTCGAAATACACTCATTTGCAAACAAATTTGGTTTTTGTTTGCCTTACCTGGAATCCAGCTGAAGCTCTCATTTGTGATGTTTCCAGACGATGACGGTCTTGGGCTGTCGAAGAATTTTTAACAACCTAATGAGTTGCATTACGAATATAAAAGAATCTACTTTTGTTCTGCTTTGTCATTCCGTAATCTGTCCTCCGGGATTTCGCTGTAAAAATCAGTATTTATGGGAGAAAGTTGTCCCAAATCGCAGCAGAATCCGTTTTTTAAACATATAAAAATGACAGACTGGTAATTGCCGCAAGACGGTCCCAAGTTGTCACTAAAAAGGACGTTTGACCAAATATTGATTGTAGAAGAGTGTTTAGCAACGTTGTGAGTAGTTTCCCTTGTAAAAATATACTGCGATATCTCGTATCAACTGAAACATGAGGCGGCTTTGGCAGCGCAGTCAGTTGAAGAGCACCATAAACGAGACATTCACTTGACTCTCATGTGAAAACCAAATTGATTTGCAAAAGAGTGTATTTGACGTTTGACCTGTATTCAAAAGAGAAGGTTGAGGCTTGTGTCCATCGATACAGTCAGTGTTTCACTAGATGTTAAGATAAAAGTAACTTGCGTGTTGTGGGGTTTGTCGGATGTGTATTGTTCACATTCACATCACTCTCGTTTGGACAGTCATCCTCCTGTCCTGGCTCAATTGTTCTGGTGAATTCACACCAAAGAGTGGGGGAAGCACTGGACTCGAGTTTCGCTCTTATTAGAGCTCTTCAGCAGTGCAGCGAACAAGTTCACCCGTTCAGACGTGAGGATTCAGATGCGTCCAACGTGCGCTGGTGGAATAGTAGTAACACGTTCGCCTCGCATGCAGGTGTCCGAAGTTCCAACCCCAACACGGCCATTGGATATGCACTGCTGAAGAGTTCTAATAAGAGCGAAACTCGAGTCCAGTGCTTCCCCCACTCTTTGGTGTGGATTCACCAGAATAATTGCTCCTGGACAGGAATATGACTGTTCAAACGAGTGATGTGGACGTGAGCATTAAAGTAGCTGCTAATTTCTGGATGTAAAGGGCCGTAATTGAAGAGCTAAATGACAAAATTCCAGCTTCTATGCGCCTACGCAAGCGGGCAGCTACAACAGACTGTCAAAAGTGAACGCCACTGGTTCAAAACGATGTGAGAGTTCGGGCCTGACAACAACCCTTTTTGTACTATCGTTTTGGTCAGTGGATCTGTATGGCCGCTCAGTGACAGCTCTTACTTCCATTACCCATTTTAACCGTCCTTGGCTATAGATTTTTTTACCCTGTGAATGGTTTTTCTTTTAGTGTTGTCTTCCTTTTTGAAGGTTTCATCTCAGGTTTCCGCGTCCCATTGTTTTACCAATACACTAAAGCCTGGTTGGCTAACAAAGCCTCTACAACATCCGTGCAGCAGCGAGCAGCGAATTTCATATGCTTTTTATGTATTTACCACCCTGCAGTTGTACTGAATAATATTGGGGAGAACGGTTTAGTCGGACCAATAAGATAGCCGGATTTTTTGTTCAAAACAGACGTACATGTTCCTTACCAGTCCTGCGTGCTAAACTGCTCATGGACAATTTGGTTGCGAATACGCTGCACGCAGCCCAGTCCAGCTATATTGCACAGACTCTTGTCACCTGTGAAAAAAACTGTATTTCAGCACATTGTCGTATTTGAGTTAACAAACAGGTACGTTTTCAAAACCTCACGAAACATATTTACCAAACTAGCTCGTCATCAGTTCAGCGATAACCAACTAAATGAATTTGCTTTCCAGGCAGCTCTTTTTAAGAGTAGAATACTTGCATATGTGTTTTTCGCATTGTGTCTGACTGCCTAAAAGTATTCTTCCCCTAACTGTATTGTTCAGCATATGTTTTTGACCAAATTTTGACCACATGCAAAACATTTGTTGCCCAAAACTTCCCAGTGTTAAAAACAATGTCGTCCATATGAATGTTTGCCAGACGTTTCCACCAAATCGATCACCTACACGCGCACACATTATTATCTTCCAGGAATTTTGGGGAAGAACACGTTGAGAAAAACAATATCAGGCACGCTGTTTCTCTACTTCGCTTGCCTGTTACCCACAATTGCGTTTGGTGTGCTGAATTTTGCCAATACAAACGGACAAATTGGTAAGTTGCAGTTTGGAATGATGCCCTGAATTTTTGGCGGACTTAGACATGTCAGGACCAAGATATCTACCGAAATTCTGGACCAGGGCTGGGGAGTCTTAAAAGTGTATGACACAAAAATATGGTATGCACAGCTTATGGTACAGTCCACAAGCACTGAAAAGTTGAATGGGACTTGTGATAAAACGACAGCAGCTTTCCACAGTCGACTTTTAGCGGGAGCACGCACCACCTTCCAGAAATTACACATCATCATGGGTAAGGAAGTGAAGGTGGCTCTCAAGTTCCCAATGTGATTCAAACATCTTTCTGTCTCATAAAAAAACTACTCACAAGGTTGCTGAGAACTCTTTGACAGCCTACAACCGGTTTAGACCTTTTTGGGGCTCATCAGGTAGGCGCAGTCCCCGCGTTTCCGTCA